TCCATACAAATATTCTAGTGATAAACCATATCCATAGTCCATATTCACCCTGGAGGCAATGCAGCCGTCATCATTTGTCCAACGTTCTCAATCATCGATCATTCACCCTGATGAAGCAGTCAGTAATCATGAAAAGAACGATCGAGGCCCCGTAGGCTTACCATTGTGCATGTCAGGCGTTTGGATCGTGCTCCCACCACCATAGTAAGAGTTGGACGTGAGTGTTGTTGGTTATCCCTTGCAACCTTGACAAAGACTAAGGGCCATGTACTAGCACGTGTGCATGTTTGATAATTAGTATCTGATCATTGCCGAAGGGAAGAACGCCCGTAGATAAGTAAGTGTGTGCGGGTAGACTTCGGTGAGCCTGGAGAGGAGCACGGAGCCGAAGGCAGTCAGGTAGGTGCGAGAAGGGTCTGGCGAGACTTCAAGACAGCGCGCGGTCATAGATAGGCAGGCGTGTGCAACCTTTTGTTGATTTCGCAATGGTATCGAGGAGAACACGCAGCCATAGACAGGCAGGCGTGTGCGGGTTTTCTTGGGCCTTGGAGAGAGCGTGGTCCCGTAGATAGGCAGGCATGTGCGGCTGTTTTCTCAATGGGCCTCGGAGGGAGCACAATGCCGTAGGCAGGCGCGTGCGAGTCCTTTCTCGATGAACCTCGAGGGCGGGCACGAGGTGGCGGAAGAGAAAAAAAGTGCATTGTCTGTGTCTGTGTGTTCTCTTTCTTCGTGGTCGTCAAGTCCTTGACGAGTGTTGAGAAGGGACGAAGCTCTGTGGAGAGGTGCACGTGTGCTTTCTTTCCTTTTGCCTGGGGCCGATATCGATGATGCCTGAAGGAGCTTGCCATTGATGGATAATACCGCCAGAATTGCCTGTCCAAAGTCAATTACCCCATCAAGGGATTAAATGTAGTGGAAAGTACCTGTTTCTGCTCGTGCTGTCATGTGTGACTGAAGCTCTATCACGAGGAGACGCACATGGCTGGTACGGCAAAGGGACGGCAGTCCTGTAAGAAGTTAGCGAGAAGCCCAAGGACATCCTATAACATACCCAAGGTTAACCCTGAAGGGTGACAGATAGGCAGGTGTGTGTTAGTGTCTGTTGACATGCTTGTCGGTCACAAAGAGAGGTTCAGGCGGCGTTGCGAACGGATCAAAGCCGAAGCTCTTTCGTCGTCCCTGAGCGGATCAAGACCGAAGCCCTGTTCATCACTCCAAGCCAGACCATTGACGTTCGAGACTTGCTGTAGCAAGAGCCCTACCATCGCACTGAACATTCTTACCGTTTCCGAAGCATTCGACACACATCACGCAACTGAGCAGTCGCGTATGGTCAACTAATACCCAGACTTAGTCAAAGAAGGGGGCAGCCAGCTCGGATGGATCAATGTCTTCGAGGAGCCCAGAAAGGTCGCCTCCTTACATGACATCATGTCAACGAGGAGAAACCCGTCCAGATCGGTTGGATCAACGTCCTCCATAAGCTCGGACAGGTCTCCTGCTTCGAGTATGTCGTCTTTCTCCACGAGGAGGGGCACTTACTCCTCAACGAGGTGGCCCTCCTACTCCAAGAAAGGAATAGTGGTGGAAACGATACTTCAACGCAAGGCGTTTTGCGATCGGCCTAGTCTCCCTTTCTCCTTCAATCCGACGGATCAAATACGGCCGGCGTCCTGTTTCTCCAAGTAAGCATAGCAGATCAGGTCCAGTGCTACGTCTCACCAAAAAACCATCACCATATTTACTAGTGAGACGCAAGGAAGATCCATTGAAGAAACCCTCCACGTCTTAAAGGACCTTTCTAACGCCCTGCTTGGCTTCATTAGTGCAGTGAGAAATGAAGCTGCAATAACCGGATGTTTGGTAAGCATTATCTCTCTGAAGCGGTGGCAGGCTTCCATATATAGAGAGTTTATATCTAAGACCTCAATACTTAGATAGGTATAAGTCTTAATGCCTAAGTCTAATATCCTAACTCTAATATCCTCATACCTTAGGTTATTATACATTTATCAAACATGCAAAACCCTAGCAATCATTTGATACTGCCCAACATCTAGCAACAGCTGTATCAACCCCTTACTTCCGCCACTGCATAAACAGCCAGAGTTGAAACTCGTTCATTGTTCACGTAAATGGGCTCATTTCTTCTATTCATCTATTAGCTGTATATCTTGAGAAGAATGATACTATGGAATACCGACTTTCAACCTTGACGTTAGCGGGGATGTCCTCGGGGGCGACGGCGGCAACGGCGGCGGCGGGATTAGGGCCGGGATGGCGGCGTCGGCGTCGGCGTCGGCGTCGGTGGTGGTAGTGATGGTGTCGGCGGTGGCGGCAGCCACCTTCTCGGCCACCTTCTGGCGCCGGGCAATCGCGTAGTGCGATGTTCCTGTGCCAGCCGCCTTCTTGCCCTTCTTCTTCTTCTTCTCGACCTTGGCCCCCCCACCGGGGCCACGAGAAACAACAAAACTAGTTCGCTATATTGATCCATTAGTTGTATGCCTTAAGAAGAGTAATACCATGGAATACTGACTTTCAACCTTGACGTTGGCGGGGACGTCTAGGCGGAGACGTCTAGGAGTGACGGAAGCGCGTCAGGTAGCTTGGGGGATCTTGCTTGGGTGGCTGCGCTCGTTTGAGGCCGGCGTGTCATGATGTGGGTGATGGGCGCATTTTCGTCTGTTTGGTAGCTGTTGTGGCATGGCTGAGGACGCTCGCACCCTATCCCGAAACTCGAGAGGACGTCACATAGCGTGTGGAATAAGAGATGGCTTGAGAGGGAGTGGATAGGTTGAGATCTGTCTCGAAGTTGCGAACGAGGATGAGGAAGAAGAGGAGCGAGTACCCCCGCGATCAGGTTGTTGCGAGCCAGGTCAGTGCTCACTCGGGTACCTTCCTCAGGCTGAGGTTCAATCGGGAGCTACGCATCATACAGCCAGCTGGCCGTCCCCACCGTTGCCCGCGTCACGGCTGAGTCCTTTCTCACGACAACGCCGGATGGTACTACGCACCACAATAACCCTCCAGGACGAACTCTGGGACAGCGCCATCCACAATGGGCGGCATGACTTCCCCAATTGGTGATAAGTCAAACCTATGTTAGGGCTAGTCTTCCATCGGGATAAAGGTCCGGTCCTTTAGCTCTACTTCCCCTGCGTCTGGAGTGGCAAGTGTCTCCGCCGGAACAGTCAGATCGAGGTTGACGTCTGTCGTTAAAAGTAACGCCGATATGTCCAAAGTGAGTGTTCGAACCTACCAGAATTTTATCCACGCCAGCCTTGCCACCAGAAATGAATTAGACCGGTGTCTTAGGTGGCTGGATGTGTATTTGTTACGGAAACATCCAGAACGCTTCATGCCTATTCACTAGAAACACGACTCCAACTGAACATGCCAAACAGCACGTTGAGGCCCAGATCAGCTACGTATGTTTCGGTTGACGACAAAAGGTACATCCAATTGTCCAGATTATGCAATCGCGCCCGACCTTAGGTCCGTACTAGGTCCACTGTGGGCCCAGGGCTCTTAGGTCAGTCCGCTACGGCTCTAGCCCAGGGCTCTTAGGTCTCTAAGTCCCCTATAACTCTAGGGCTCTTAGGTCATCTTGCATAACTTCATGGCGCGAAGGAAATCGATCAATCCCAGCTTTAGCGCTACTACATGTGGGAGAGGGATAGCGCTTGGTTTTCGCGCCCTTCCCAGGTCAGACAGTCAACTGATGATGCGTCAACTAACGACCGTCAACGTACGCAGCGCCGATCTGGACCTAAACAATAGAAGAACACAACAGCAACACAGGAATATCTAAATAGATTCATTTACTTGAACGAAGGGTAACTTGAATACAACCTACCGACACACATGATGCGACCGACACTCATCCGGTCTTGCATTGCTGCAACCCGGCGACGGCATTCGGCTTCATCAGTATCGCGCGATTCTCAAATCAAAGTAGCTATTGATACGATCCTACCCTCAGGTCGGTCAAGTGATCATGGAGCTCAGAGGTATCCAACCCATACTCGACATAAGAGGGCATACAGTGGCCGCGCAAAAGTTCCGACAGTCTCCGATCCACCCTAATCTCCCCGATCATGACCCAGTCTTCGACCTGCCATTGTGTATCAAATAATATCACATTAAATTACAACCTAGATGAATTTGAAGTCTAGAGACTAGAGATCATGATGATGTATATTTATATCTAGTAACCAGCTATCTACGCTAACAACCGCTTGTATTCCCGTTGGCATTGAATCTGGCTGATTTTTTAATACTTCAACTTCAATCTCAACCCAAAGCTCCTTCGCGCATTCAATCAAGCAGTCTTTTGCGGCCGCATTCTTCGGAAGGTCTGCGAGGTCTAGGTATTTCTTAGACCCGTTCCTTTAGTATTGTCCATAGATTCTCGATCAGATTAAGATCAAGTATGGGGCTATTCTATGAGTGTGATTCCCTCCCTCGTTGCGTATTTGCACAGCCACCCTTGGACTAACCAGACGTCTTCCGACGTCAGTCTGGCAACTCTCCGTTTGCACAGGCAACTGATCTTTACCTAGCCTCACTCTAATCCCATGTGACTGCGTGGGTTGATCATTTGCAGAATATTCAATATTCGTAAACAATTTCACAAACTCGAATCTTACTATTTGAACATCATCCCGTCAGATTGGGACATCGCACGTGATTCTTTCAGTGAAGTGCATGACTTTCCGCCTTGCGTTCGCAATAAACCCACCACATGCTATGGTTTCAGATGATTCATTTAGCTGGTGCTCTTATTAGAGTCTCGACGAAGTTTCCCAATCAACAATATTGGCGTGCATTACCCTACGGCGTGGAAATCTGCACGTCGGGAGCGGGAGCTGGGCTCAAAGGGGACTAGATAAACCCAGCGTCTCGGAACCCCACTTTTAGACTCGGCGCTAAGCCCCACCCGAAACCTTGTCAGTTTGCGGCATATATGTGTCAACAACGGTGCCTATCTCCAACGAACAGGCCTGGTGGTCTAGCGGTATGATTGTCGCTTCGTTAGTCATTCAATAACTCCCTCTGATTCGCCAAATACTAATCAATATTCAGGGGAAATATCCCAGTTCTCCCAGAGAAAATGTGACAGGTCCCGGGTTCAATCCCCGGCCAGGCCCTTCCTTTTTGATGTTTGCTCGCTTTCTTTTTGGATGAGGAACGCCCACCAGTTGCTCTGTGTATCCAGAGGTCCCAGTTCTTCTAAAGAAAATGTGCCAGGTCCCGGGTTCAATCCCCGGCCAGGCCCCAACTTTTTGACATCAATTGCGACGTTCTGACTTCTTTTTGCACAAGGAACAAACACTGTGTGTATCCAGAGTGACCGGGAGCTTATAGTTCGATCCCCGGTCAGGCCCTTTCTTCTTCACGTACGTCAGCTTTGTTTTTTTGGACGAGGAACACCTGGCAGTCCTGGAGACCGACTTGATCAACAAACAGCCGCAGACCACTGATGAGGCTTGAAGCATCCATCATATGATGAAGCGTCCCGACACGTGAGAGTATTACAAAACACCCGTTGCCGCCGCGGCCGCTGCCTCCGCGGGCCGTCAACGATGGGATCCCATCGCACGCAAACACTATGGGCATAGGTGCACTTGCCAGGAAGTCAGTGGGCACGGCGCGTTAGCTACAGCGGTCACAGCGCGCGCTAGGTACAGCAGTCCGGGTATCGCAGCGCGTTGGCGACAGTTGTCACATCGCGCTAATTATAGCGGTTGCAGCACACTGGCAGCCGCTGCAGGGCTGGATCAATAGTCGGGCCCCGGGGAATGTTTTTTCGGGCTCTTTGGGCACTGTGGGCACTGTGCTGTGCGTGATGCGTTTTGGTCCACGGCCACCATGCGGGCTCACGTGACATGAATTATGCGTGATCCCCTACTGCCGACTCTCCTGCCAGAACCTCCACTGCTTAGCAGTACAGCGCAATCGTCCCTATCTAAATTATGCACGGATTAACGCGATTGAATACAGAGCTCTTGCTCAAGTACGCGAAAATGTGCAAGCGCATGTGCTGCGCCACGTACATTGGTAGCAGGTCCGTTTTTGACCACGCGGAAGTGCGGACTTTGGTTCCTGTCAACTTGTGATACATGCGACTTGGTGATGTAATTCTTCATTTCTGCACTTCATTTCGTAGAAATTCCGTCCATAGTCAAACCTACCTCGCCATTTTCTAGCTACTTCTCCGTGAGATTAGCGTCCATCCGCCGGATTGCTTTCGACACAGCGTGCCCACTACGAAGTCACGGAAACTGCGACCAAATTCAGACATGCAAATTTATTTCATCAAATCCTCCAAAACCCAGCCAAGATATGCAACCGACCATCTAAACACCAAACAATCCTAAACATCAAACTATCCCAAACACCAAACCATTTCAAACTCCAAACCATCCAAATCCAAGCCATCCACCATGTAGAAACAAAACCCATCAACGCATCCAGGAAGATCGCTAAACTCCACCCGATGTCTGCATACATTACATGAGTTATCCAAAGTCAGCTTTGAGCAGCATTATTTAGTCCTTGAACCAACTGTTTACTACGCTCTAGGCAAGCAATCAGCAACGACAATAAGATGCTCGGGTTTCCCAGCCTTACCACCGCGCGTATGAACCAGCCAGGTGCATGTAATGTGATGAGTTTGATGAGCTTGGGGTTATCGCGCTCTCGTTCGTCTGTTCGTCTGTTCGTCTGTTCGTCTGTTCGTCTGTTCGTCTGTTCGTCTGTTCGTCTGTTCGTCTGTTCGTCTGTTCGTCTGTTCGTCTGTTCGTTTGTTGTTTGTTGTTTGTTCTTTCGGTCGGCTCGTTCGCGCCAACGGGGGGTCGTGTGCTTCAATGTGCGTGTATGAGCATTCTTCTAACGACCCTAGAACAAGAACATGAGTGTAAGTGTTATGCTTCTATTTGCACGTGAGGATTTCTTTGTTGTTTGATGAATGGCTTGACTATGACAAGAAAAGCGCGACGCCGGAGATAGGTAGGCGTATGGAAGTCTTGGCAAGCCTCGAGGAGAGCATGAGACCGTCGATAGGCAGGCGTGTGCGGGTAGACTTTGGTGAGTCTAGAGAGAAGTATGAAGCTGGAGATAGTTAGGCAGGTGTAAGAAGGACTTGGTAAGAATCAAAACACAGCACGCGGCAATAAATAAGCAAGCGTGTGCGAGCTTCTTTCTCGATGAGTGAGCATGATGCCGTAGATGATGTGCCCGGGTTGTTTAATTGGTGAGCCTCAGAGGGAGCACAATGACTTAGATAGGCAGGCGTGGGCAGGCAGTCGTGACAAGTCTTGGTGAATGTTAAGGAGAGAGACAGGCGCACGAGAGGCCCTGGTGAGTTTGGAAAAAATCTCGTGGATATGGATAGGTAGCGTGTGCGGCCAGTCTTGCTGAGTCTTGGTAAATCTCGAGCAGAGGTTAGAGAGCACGAAACTGTAGATAGGCAGGCGTGTTGAAGCCTTGGCGAATCTCCAAGAGAGCGCGACCCCGTAGATAGGCAGGCGTGTGAGGAGCCCTGGCGAGTCTTGAAGAAACCTCGTGACCGTAGAGAGGCCCGAGAGAATCTTGAAGAAAGCTCATAGCAATGGATAGGCAGGTGTGTGCGGGCAGTCTCGATGAGTCTTGATGAGACACTGGAGAGCAAGAAATCGTAGATAGGCAGGCGTGTGAAAGCCTTGGCGAGTTTCGAGCGGGCCACAAGCCATAGATAGGCAGGCGTGTGCGAAGCCCTGATGAACCTCGCGAAGTCTCGTGACTGTGGATAGGCAGGCGTGTGTGGGAAGTCTTGATGAGTCTCGGTGAATCTCGAGGAGAGCGCGAGGCTGGAGGGGCAGGAGTGTGGAAGTCTCCAACATAGCGTGAGGCGTGTGCGGCAGCCTTGCTGAGTTTTGATGAATCTTGAGCAGAGCACGAAGCCATAGATAGGCAGGCGTGTGATGCGTGTGCAATTTGTTTCTCTCGCTTCTTAAGAATCTTTGCCCTTGACGCGCCTTGAAGGAGGGCGAGTCCGCGAGGGGACAGACACACGCGCGTGGGTTTTTTTTTTAGACTTGGCCCTGACGATGCCTTGATGATGCCTTGGCGATACCTGGACGAGCCATTCGAAGGGTCCATTTTGAGTCAGTTGCGTGAGCAAGAGAGAAAATATCATAGGAAATAGGCACCTCTCTTCGGTGGTGCTTGCTGTGTGGCCGAAGCTCCAGATGCACACGTGATTCTGGAGCGGCACGATTTCGAGAAAGGGACGGGAGTCCTATGATGAAGAAATTAGCTTGATACATCAGGACGGAAGAAAAAGACGTACCCAAGGTTCACCCGAAGGGTGATAGATAGGCAGGCGTGTGTATAGTACCTATTGTCATGCTTTTGGAGTTGAAGTTCAGGGAGCACTGTGAACGGTCCAGAGTCGAAACTCCTTAGCAGTTTCACATACTGGATCTTGTGCAGATGCCAGTAGCTGGAATCTTGGGCAGATCCCAGTGGCACGTTCGCAGCCAAGTTCAAGAACCCGACCGCGCCCTTGACATAGGGCCTTGCAAGTTGGAATGGCAAGAACCCTAATCTGTCGCGAACTTCGTTCCGCGAGAAGCATTCGGCACACACCACGCGACTGAGCAGTCGCGTACGGTCAACTTGGACCTAGACGGAGTTAAGGAAGGGGGCAACCAGCTCGGATGGATCAATGTCCTCGAGGAGCTCAGAAAGGTCGCCTCCTTCCATGACAGCATCTTCGTCAACGAGGAGAAACCCGTCCAGCTCGGTTGGATCAATGTCCTCCATAAGCTCGGACAGTTCACCTCCTTCCATGACATCAACTTCGCCAACGAGAAGCCCGCCCAGCTCGGATGGATCAACGTCCTCCACAAGCTCAGACAGGTCTCCTCCTTCGAGAATGTCTTCTTGCTCCACGACGAGGGGCACTTCCTCCTCAACGAGGCTACGCTCTTCCTGTAAGGAAGGAGCAGCCGCTGCGCGAGAGGGTTGTTTCGACGCAAGGCGTTTGGCGATCACCTTGGTTGCCTCGCCTGTCAACCACTCGCTTTTGGGTCTGTCGATGGGGTAGTGGCGGCGACAGGGCATCTTTCGCCTACTCTCCGAAGGCCTCAGTGTGCATTCTCCCTCGCATCGTAACTGACGGACAAGGTATTTTCCGGTGTTCACGCAAAACTTCGGAGCGTCATCATTCCGGATCGAGGCATCAGACTTGCAAGATCCACATTTGATCTTGACTGGGAGCTTATCGCCTTCAATGGGCTCGCGATGTCTTGGGGCACCGTTAGCTGCGAAGAGAGCAGCCGAATTGTTCACGTAATTGTCAGCTTTCTGCTTGACCAGTGCGGCTGCGCGCATATTGTTCATGTGATTGAAGCCAAGCTGTCGGATCTTGGCATCATTGCTTTTGCAAATGGAACCATACCCACTGTTCTCGGCACGAGAATTGTCGCCTTGGTGTATTGGCAATTGGGTATTGAGTCCCTTATCACCGGCAAAGGGGAACTCCTTCAACCAATGAGCAAGCATCGAAGGCTGAAGCGTTTCGAATACGAGACAGTAAAACATCTCCACAAGGTTAAGCCATGTGGCTTGGTCTTTTTCATCTTCCCCGAAGTCAGCAACAACGGAGTGAAGGGGAACATAATGCGCTTCAATTCCCTGTTTGCGCCACATGGTATACAGAAGCTTCTTCTCCTTGACACCTCGGCAATTGAATTCGTGGTTGCGAAGCCTTTTAGACACATTGAAAGATTGACCAACATATTGAGCGAACCAGGCCTGGTCATTGTCATCTGTTAGCACAATCATATAATGCCCGGGGCCGCTACCCATCTGGTGTCGTGGCCGAGCCAGGTTGAGAAGCCCCTGTTTCGTGTTGGCGCCGTTCTGGACAATGGTGCGAATTGCGATCGAACCGCGCAATATGCGCTGGAACATGACTGGCTCTTGACGGGTCTCGAAGTACTTGGAGTACTTATTGCCCACGGTTCAGTTGGTTGCAGTCTTTCGGACAATGGTCCTCCAGATCTGAACCATTCTTCTAGAACTCGGCTCCTCTGATACAATAGATTGTATACGGCCCGGGTCCTGTTGCTCGAAGTAAGCATAGCAGATCAGGTCCAGTGTT